AACACCCTGTAAAGCTCAGCTATACCGAAAGGTCTGTAAGACAACAAGCTGTATCTGAAGGCAGGTGCAGCAAAGGTCCAGGAGAGGATCTCAAGGGATGAAACACATCACTGGACAAGGTCCATGGATTCTGCAAAGGATTTTTATCCTAGTATTAAAGTATCTTTCATATTTATAGCTTAATGTTGCTATATCTCAATATTATATACTAATACTGTTAAGTCTGTGTAAAAGGAGGGGGTATTAAAAAAGTTCAAAATTGGTTAATGCACTATTTGTAAATTATATTTCAGTTTTATTTCCATTTGCAGAAACCAAATATCATTATAACCATCTAATGCTCAAATATAGCTACAACCGGTCATTTCAACAGAGGTGGACTGACTCGTTTAAAGATGCACCATCAAAACTTTGGACTTTTTCTTTTCATCTTGAAAATTGTTGCACTGTTTGTAGTATTTACTTCTCACGTTGTATATTTGACTCTCACCTCTGATTATCTGAAAGGATACTGCTTTAACCTCCTAGGACGTGGCGTCCACATATGTGGACATCACATTTTGGGCTGTCTAGCCACAATGCTAAATTTTACACATTTAGGTGTAAACATGTTCACACGTTTGAAGTAGCACTTCGGGACAAATGTTTCGTGTTTCGTGCGATGTTCAGAAATCTTTGACAATATTTTTACACTGTCACAGACATACGTCTTCCTGCAGCTGTTAGCAGCATTTCAAATGAGCCATACTGCTCAAAGAGGCACAACTGGGTTTTTTTTTAACTCAGGACACCAAAATAAAGACACCAAATAAAGAGTTTTGCACATCATTTTTTAAATGTGACTTAGTGTTCTATCGAAATTTAAAGCGAATGTCCTCATATGTGGATATCAGTTTTCTCAGAAACTACATCAGGTTAAAAAAAAAACATTCTTTGTTTTCAATCAGCCCAAATAGCAAAGAGAAATTAAAAATGCATGCCATGAAAGAGTTCGGGTCTGAGGTTGAGCAGGACTAACGCAGGGAACACGCATTTCTGGCCAACTGTGATCGCTACAGCTGCGCTCCTAGGTTAGCTGCAAAGCGTTTGGCTCAGTGTAAGCAGTGCAGTCTCATACAGCGGACCGTCGACTTGGTCCGTTCGTTCAAGGCACCTACGTTGCTGTGAAAGTCAACAGTAACTACTGGTGTCGATGTTTTACAGCCACCAACTTTTCAGCCCGCGTAGCGTTGGTTAGCTAACTAACTAGCAAAAGTCCGTGAACCACAAACGACTTTAGAAGTTATTTCTAGAATTATAATAAATGTGTACATACACAGTGAGCGGTCGCTATCTCGAACAGATAGTTTATTATAACACTATATGTATTCCGCTTGAAACTCTGGGAAAGCCATCGTTATCCAGCAAAAGAAAACATCAACCAAAATCCGCGTCTTCTATTGTCCGACCTGGAAACTCAAACAGTTCTTTGGTTCCGGACCGGAAACAAGGCTCCCTCTCTCTGTCTCTTTCTTTCGCTCTCTCTCTCTGGAATCTAATGTCCAATAATTATATTTATAAGCAATTTTTTTTAGTTATTGTCACACTTTTACTTTATATTTCAGTTTTTATATATTTATAAAAGTATTAAAATTATCTACTACATATGTTTATATGTGTTATATATTGTACATATTATATATTTTTTGTTTCTTTTTTGCGCTATTTTGAGCCAGGAAATAGTTATTTTTTTCTGCACTGTTTAGTGTATAGATTGGATGGCAATGAAGTCTATCTATCAATACAGAATTTCGAATTTCCCAGAGGAACCCACCCGAGGGATTAATAAAGTTCTATCTTATCTTATCTTACAGTAATTTCTAATGGTAAAAATAAAAATAAAAAGAGTAAAATTAGTCTTTAATTGCATGCACATAAAAATACATATCTATACCTCAAAAACGTAACGTTTGTGACATTTTACTAACTATTTTTTATATTTCTATCTTAGCTGTATAAATTCAGTCCTATTTGTCAGACAGACTAGACAAAAACTGCTGATCATAGAGGGGTGGAAGGCATGATGAGAATCCATATTTTGTGCTTATCTGGATAATTTTGGGGGGCATTTGCAGAGGAGTATCCTTTACTTTAGATTTTTAATAATAAAGGCCTTGAGATGAGGCATTGTTTGTCTGATTGAGTGCTGCCCTTAACTGTCAGATTAAGGTTTTTGTTTGTTTTTGTTTTTAAGAAAGAAAAAGAAAAGAAAGAAAGAAATAATATTGCATAAAAGCACACAGGCAAACATTTCCAAACCATTCCCATAAAGCAGTATGCACCATCTGCACAAAAGTATGAACACGATGAATAATTTATTTTTCAGACTAACCTGAATTTCAAAAAGAACTAATCTACACAAATAAATAATCTACACGAATAATAACATCTAATAATCCTAGATAAAGAAGTCTCATTCATAACGTCCACACAAAGTATACTAGTCGTCTACAGGTAATCCCCCAGGTTATACTAAGGGGTGACGTTTTGGAATCCTCATGGTAAAAAAAAAAAAGAAAAGAAAAAAGGTCACAGCTGCAACTCAGAGCTGGCAGCAGCACCACACCATCTAGTGGTCATTCATATATATAGCTTGGGAGGTAGACAGTCTACATCACACGTTTTTCAGTTTAACTTACGCCACCATAGTTTCCCCAGTAGATGGATAAACTGCAAGTGGAGAGTGGATGAGGTTTGAAAAGAGAAGGAGGAAGAAGTCTTTTTAGTAAATGTAGCAGATTTGTAGCAATGTAGAACAGAACTATGGGATGTATGCACATTTCAAGATATCTTAGAATCAACATTAGCTATATGTGCAAAACTTTCATCATGAATTAATTGTGATTAACCACAACTAAGACCTCCACCAAAGAACTCCAAGGCTCATCTCATTTGCCAAAAGAAAAAATATGAACATGCTCAAAAACCTTCCAGAAATTCCAACGTGAAAGACTCACTGCCAGTCATCACAAACGCTTGATTGCAGGTCTTGGTGTCAAGGTTGACACAACCAGTTATTAAATTTAAGAGAAAATTACTTTTTCACACATGGCTTTCCCTTAATAAATGAAATGATCATTTAAAAACTGCATTTTGTATTTACTCAGGTTACTTTTGTCTCACGTTAAAACTGTTCTTATGATCTGAAACATGTAAATATGTCACAAATGTGCAAAAAAACCAAAAAACAAATACTTTTTCAAGGCAGCGCATATGCATCCGATTTATTTCAGCTCAGAGTCTCCACGCTGCTGGGTGGTGCACCTTTCTCACAGATGTCTGTTCGCTCGCTACCTGCCAGTTTGATCCCCCCTTTGAGTGCTCAGGAGGAACAGAAAGCACCATATATGTGAGAAGCAGTCCAATGGAAAGATCGATGGTTTTGCATGAAGCTGTTTGGTGCTGAATGAAATGATGTCAGATCTGCTATTATAGTTCATAATTTGAACTCCGACAAGCAAATCCGTATTTCTTATTGGCTGCAATCATAGTAACAGCTTGCTAAAAATAACAATTACAAACATTTTTCCATTTCATTTTTTGCTAATATAGAAGTGCAAAACATGTTTAGAGCAGAGATGATTCATCTCAAGGGCGGCGATGTTTCTGTTGCTGGACACTGTTGAAAGAACCTTATTCAGAGACAAGGCAGCACTCACCACATGCATCCCACCCTGTTGGGTAAATACAAATTCACCATAATGTTATTATTCCCATGAGTCAGCTCTGTGTTATTTACCACAGAAACACTGAGCTCACTGTGACATCAAAAAGGTGAAAGACCTGTTTGTTGACTCTACCTGGCATGTTTGGGTGGTGACCTCCTGGATTGACACAAGGCTGACTGAATGAAGAAAAAAATTAACAAAATTAACAAAAACATTAGTAAATGAAACGTTTATTAAGGTTTTATAAATATAGGACAGTCTGGGCAGTGAGCACAACATAATTTTACATATTTACCATGTGGAAAAACTGAGATGTGCTGTTGAAATTTCATTGCTTTGTCATATATTAAGATATTTCAGTGACCATGTGTAGCTAAATGTTCTTACACTGACACAGGGGGATTTTCACTGGTCTGTACCTCACCCTCGACATCCCTCATCTACAGCATCACACATGCAAATTTAAGACTGACAGAGTCATAAGAGAAACACCAACCCATTACAGGAGGTAACAACCAAAGGGTTTATTTAACACTGAGCAGAGTCACTACACACACTAAGACACTGAGTTGGTGGGTGTATTCCATAATGAGGCAAATGTGTGTTTATTTTCATTGTTACGTGTCAGGGATTCATATCCCGGAGCACTCTGCTGCTCGGTGCTCAAACACATGCTCGGGTTGACGCTCTCATTTTCACAGGCACATGTGAAGCACACGGTTGGTTTTCCCTGATAGAGAAATGTCACTAAAAGACTAAAAACATCTGAGTTCCTCTCAGTAGCTGAATATTTGTACAGGCTCAAAGTTACCCTGTTCCCTTAAATGATCATAAGATGTAATTTATATATACATGCATGTGAAAATATGATTTACTGCAAATATACTCTTGATCGTGGCTCAAGAGCTGGCAGTTCATCTTGTAATTGGAAGGTTGCCGGTTCGAGCCCCGACTCCGACAGTCTCGGTCGTTGTGTCCTTGGGCAAGACACTTCACCCGTTGCCTACTGGTGGTGGTCAGAGGTCAGTGGTCAGTGTCCGGCAGCCTCGCCTCTGTCAGTGCGCCCCAGGGTGGCTGTGGCTACAATGTAGCTGCCATCACCAGTGTGTGAATGTGTGTGTGAATGGGTGGATGACTGGATGTGTAAAGCGCTTTGGGGTCCTTAGGGACTAGTAAAGCGCTATATAAATACAGGCCATTTACCATTTATTGTATTTACAGCAGACAGAAGTGTGTGTGTGTTTGTGTGTGTGTGTGTATTCCTGAGTCAATATACAACAATAACACAGTACATGTGAGGAAGCATTCTTTATAGTTTTTTCGTCTTTTTTAATCAAACCAACAACACTGTCATATAGACAACAATAGAAACTATAGAATAGATGCATTTTATTCAGTAAAAAAGATTCTATGTCAGAAACATGCACAGCTTTGAAGGTGAACTCTTGCTCTTTGGTTTATGCTTTTTAAAGAGGCACAGCCTCCATGTACAGCATCAGTGACATAAAACAAGTGTACGAATGAATGCAGTCAAAGTTGGGAAATAAAGAAACTGTAACGTCTGCAGCAAAGAGCCCCTGTGGTCCCATAAGGTGACATTTTTCTACAGTGTGTGCCAGTTTATCTGTGACAACAGAAACATCTGTGACGAGTTATTCATCTGTGTGTTTGAACTTCAGCAGACTGTCCACGTCTGCATGACTAAACGCTTTGACTCGCTGACATGGGTGCATTACTGTAATGCATAGGCGTACCTAATAAAGTGGCTGCTGAACGTATTTAGTATGATGAGAGAACTGTGCCAGAATGATCGAGAAACACCAAACACATAATGAAGTCTCTCGCACAGATGAAGACCTTCTCTGCAGACATGACTCGTCCACACAAATAAATCCTGTGTTTGCAGAGAAACATGGCAGCTGACGGGCTCCGTGCATTTCTTCTGACGTTACAGACATGAAACAGGAAACAGGCTCATTGTTGTAGCTCCGCTGAGAAGCTACGCACTGCACAGCTCGTGGCGGATGATTAATGCCTGAACATAGAAGAGAACGCTAAAACCAGCCAGTGTGACAAACTGACTGCTTTAGGCATAACATAATTAAGAAATAAAGCTTGAGCTGAGCAGAAGCTCGTGTGTGCTGCTAATGCTGCTGTTGTCTTGGACAATAGTTACTGGCTCAGTAATAAGGCATATTGGACCGTTGGCTGTTTGCTTTTTGTTCACTATAAATTCTTCCTTCTTGTCTTTTTTTCATTTGTCTCATCCACTGGATTTAGCTCGGCCATGCTTCATGTCCATAAGGCCTCTCTGGGCACACAGAATTTTGAGATTTCATACAATGTCAATAATAAACACAAGTGCTGAGTTTTTCTTTACTGAATCTTCTTTCTATGCAGTAAGCAAATATAATATTCATATTAAATAATATAGATTTTTGGCTAGTTCTTGCATAACATGGATCGCCACAGTAGTTGAATGAACCTCTCAGCTGTATAACAACAATAAAATCACAGATAAATTCACAATATTACTGATTTATTTAATGAGAACTAGTGAGAACCATTGTGACTTTATCTCCCCAGTTTGTTACAAAGTCTGTTCACGTGACATTCGCAAAAACAACCCCGGGTCTAAATGAAACCACCTAACAGGTGTGATAGCACAGTCCCCTCAGTTCTAGTTAAACTTGGATCATTTCTGCCCAAACATAACCCAAAAGTCCAAATGACTGAACTCATATATCTTCATGTATGCGGCCTGTTAGGGATCTCTCAGCTTTAGAGCTGTCTTACATGCTCATGCCTTTTAATTGTAACTGCACTAGTTACACTACTGTGTAAATCTTCAACTGAACCTCAGCTGAATTTGAAAAAGAAGGAATAACCTTGAACCTGCAGAAGTATCTCCGGCGTGCCACATACACCCACACGTATGACTTTTTGGTGCCTGACTTCATGAATCATGTTAACATGATTCCTGCACCAGCGTCCGTCTCTATGATAACATCTACAGCAGAACGTACCATCTGTGAATCAAAGTGTGCCAGCAATACTAAACAAAAATATATTACAAGACACACAATAACCATTAACAACCAGAACAATAAAATAAGGACAGGAGCCACAGAAAAAAAAAATCACATTACCACGGTGTAGCCACTCCCATGTGTGTGTTCCAGAACATTACCTCTAGAAATCTTCTTGACTATAGAAAATTCATTTTTGTGTCCCATTAATGTTCTTTTGAAATAATAAATTGCTATTTTGACTCCTTAGCGACGCCTGCTGTTGCGTTCTGGACTCCTGCGGCTCCTCCTCTGTGCTCTCCTTTGACTTTTCACTGCAGCGCGGGAAAAACCAAACAAAGACTTATTATGAGAAATAACTTCTCAGTACGAATCTATACAGAGCATGCTCACCATCAGTGCATTTCACTTGGGGCTCCTCCCACTGTCCGTCTGGTTGACAGCGCACCAGCGGTAGATGGCGCTGTCTAAATCCTGGATTGCACTGATAACGAATGATGGAGCCGACGGGGTACACCACCCTCTTTTTGCCAAACATGCAAGCATTGGCCACCTCCGGCGGGGCACCACAGGACACTGAAGGTAGTACCAGAGGACATCATATCAAACAATGTGTTTCCTGCAGTACGTATTTTAGGTAAAAAGCTAAAACATTGCTGCGTTAGTTAGCTCCGAGTCGAGTTTGTTTTTGCCAAAATCCAACACGTTTGTTTTGTTAGTGTTAGGACTCTTTCACAGAGCCCAGTATGAGTCACACTGTAGGAAGCTTTAGCCAGCCTAATGCAAAAAGATAAACCTGCTCCACCTATGAAGGACTCCAAACCACTGGACATATATTCTACCATTCAGATATCTGCCTTGTATTGATAACCAGACCAAACAGACTAGACTAGACTTGAAGGTTTTGCTCCAGAGGTTTTGCTGAGCCAGCCTACCTGAGCCTTTCTTGCAGGTGAAGGGCAGATGATAACTACAGGGTACATCATTCCACTGGCCATCAGAATGCCAGATCATCACCACACAATCTTCTTCAGAGTTCACGTAGTTGTCCGGCTGGTTCGGCCTCCAGTTCTCGTATTGCTGAAGAGACGAGAGCAAACAGGTAAACCTCAGAGTGTAAACAGGACCACAACAGCTTTACCAGTTGTCCTGTATGTCATCTTTTACTGCTAAATTAGATTTTATTGTTTTGTCTTTTCTCAACAGTTCAAAAAGTTCAAAAAACAATAGAAGCATTAATCGATGAAAATGTTTCCACACATAAAGTTGAATTAGACTAAAAAGCATAAACGGCAAATTGTCTTTGAATGGAATTGCTTCATGCTCACAGCTGTTACACACTCGTTTTCAGACCCCCGCTCTTTCGCTACTCAGGTTAAACATGATATATAAGTCACTCGGATAACTTAAAAATGTAATTGTTTGCCTTTTTTCGGTGTTTTATTTGTTCCGGACTAAATCGGTTTGGCTGAGATCAAAGTTATTAGATTAAATACAACTTTATTAATCCATCGGGTGGGTTCCTCCAGGATTTTCACACAGCTGAATAAACGTCAAACAGAAAACCGATTAAACAGAAGTGTGAGACGATCGAGAATTTACGCCAGTGTCCTGATATATTTTAGATAGCAAGGAGCAGACGGCTGAGTTTATTAAACTCCACCAAGACAGCGGTGACGCAAATCTGAAGGCTAGACCGTCCCATTTCACACCCTCGCACTTCCGGCCTTCTCGGTCTTTGAAGGAACCTGCCCACGTAGACCGCGAAGGCCGGGTCCTCCGAAGGATGCAGCCGACGTTTTGGGACACAGCTATGGTCAGCATCCTGACAGCCCAATGGACGAAGCTGTCTCTCAGTCTGCGTGTTCTGGCCCGGAGGCTCTTCAGTATCGTTCCTGATGGCAGCAAACTGAAGACGCTGTTGAAGGGATGAGTGAAGTCACCTGTAATGCAGAGGACCTTCCAGATGAGGCAGGTGCAGTAGATCTCCTGGGGAGGGAGGCAAGAGAGGTCCCCACAATGCTCTTGGCTGCTCTCACTACCCGTTGTCATTTTTTCCTGCAGAACCCAGTGCAGGAGTCATACCACACAGTGATTCAGCTGGTGAGGATACTTTCAACTGTGCCTCTGTAGAAGGTGCTCATAATGGGGGTTGAATCTCTTGTGCTTCTCAGTTTGCAGAGGAAGTAGAGTTGCTGTTGGTCTTCTCCACATTCAGGGACAGGTTGTTGTTGCTGTACCACTCTGGCAGATGGTTAACTTCACCCCTGTAGTAGATCCCGTCGTGGGTCAGCAGAGTGAAGAGAAGGGAGCTCAACACACATCCTTGGGGAGCCCCCGTATTCAGTGTTCTTGGGCTGGAGGTGTTGCTGTCGACCCGTACTGTCTGCTGTCTTCCTGTCAAGAAATCTAGCAGCCCGTTATACAGCAAGGTGCTGATCCCCAGCAGATCCGGTTTGTGAATGAGTTGCTGGGGAATGATGGTGTTGAATGCTGAACTGAAGTCTATGAACAGCACTCTGACATATGAGTCTCTAGTGTTCAGATGTGTGAGGGCTGAGTGAGGGGCAGTTGAAATTCCATCATCGGTTGAGCGTTTTGACCGATATGCGAACTGAAATGGATCCAGGTTGGGGTAAAGCGATCATTTGATTTGATGCATGACTAACCGTTCAAAGCTCTTCATAATGATGGAGGTGAGTTTGACAGGACGGTAGTCCTTAAAGCAGGAGGTAGATGACTTCTTGCGTACAGTAATGATGGTGGAGGCTTTGAGGCATGTGGGAACGACGGCCTGACCCTAGTGATGTGTTAAAGATGTCTGTGAAGACATTTGTGAGTTCCACAGCATAGTCCGTCAGTGCTCGTCCAAGGATGTTATCAGGACCTGGAGCTTTGCGTGTACTGATTTTGGCAAGGGATCTCCACACACTGTCTGGGGATTGTGTCACCACGGTCTGTAGAGTGGGCTTGTAGTCTGTGATGGTTTGTATTCTTTGCCACTGCCTCCAAGTATCTCTGCTGTCGCTGAAGCTTTGCTGCAGCTGATGCCACAGGTTTGCCCTTGCTGTTCTTAGACTCACCTAATTCCCGGCTCTGAAGGCTTGCATTTTTCAACCTTAGGAGCATTTAAACCTGACCTGTGAGCCATGGTTTCTGATTGGCCCGGACAGTGATAGTCCTGGTCTCTGTGACATCATCGATGCATTTTGGGATGTAGGCAATGACAGTTTCTGTATATTCCTGAAAGTCTGTGGTGTTGTCGTGTGTGGCAGCCTGTGGTGGAAAAGCAGTCTTGCAGTGCCTCTGAGGACCCTTCTGGCCACACCTGTACCTGCTTACGGACTGGTTTGGTGACTTTGAGCAGGGGCCTGGGGGAACCCATGGCACACCTAGATTTCTGCCTGTACTGACCCTTATGCAAAATAGGTGGAATTAAGACGCAGTTCCAAAAGCAAACACAACTGATCAGTGCTGAGGGTGGTCCTGTTGCTGAGGTTGGGGTGATCCTGTCATCTCTTATGAACGACCTCCAATGCTTCTATGACTGGGATGCAAGTGAAGACAGATGTAACATCTCTCTCTCACTGTACATATACTGTGTATAAAATTAGGGAAACATAACCTGCACAAACAAAATAATTTGCAGGACAAATGTTTGACATCAATTTTGTTCGATTTGAAGAAGGTAGGGGGGCAACTTCACTCACATGTGTTTATAAGGTTGGGGAAACCTGCAGTCAGCTGAGACTGAAGAAGTCACTTGGATGATTTTTATTAATATCTTTAAAATGATCTCCTCCTTGAATCGCTACCTTATCGTGGTGGAGGGGTTTGTGTGTCCCAGGGATCCCAGGGGCTATGTTGTCTGGGGGCTTTTGCCCCCTGGTAGGGTCTCCCATGACAAACTGGTCCTGGGTGAGGGACCAGACAAAGAGCGATTCAGAAGACCCCCATGAAGAGAATATCGAGGGAACAGTTTACCCTGCCCGGGATAGGGTTACCGGGGCCCCGCCCTGGAGCCAGGCCCGGGGAGGGTGCCCGAGGGCGAGCGTCTGGTGGCCGGGCCTTAGTCCATGGGGCCCGGCCGGGCACAGCCCGAAGAGGAGACATGGGCCCATCCTCCCGCAGGCCCACCACCCGCAGGAGGCGCCATAGGGGTCGGGTGCATTGTGAGCCGGGTGGCGGCCAGGAGCGGAGGCCCTGGCGGACCGACCCCCGGCTGCCAAGACTGGCAATAGGGACATGGAATGTCACCTCTCTGGTGGGGAAGGAGCCTGAGTTGGTGCGTGAGGTTGAGAGGTACCGGCTAGATATAGTTGGGCTCACCTCTACGCATTGTCTGGGCTCTGGAACCAGTCTCCTGGCG